TAAACAATAATTATCAATCTGGTAGAGTATTTAAGGAATCATTCATTTTGCTGAATTTTACAGATTTTTGCTCTTTTTTATTTCACACGCTCTAGAAGGATTAAGCTGAACATTACTCCCTTGAGTGGAGTTGCTACCAGTCAAGTAACTGGAGCTAAATGAGGCTAAACTCAAACACAGAGACACAAAGAGGTGATCTATGAATCTCTGGGTAATACATAAAGTCAAACCTTTTTCCAAACATTGTAATCCTAATTCTGTCCATTGTGTGCTGCATCGCCAAGTTTGTCACTGTGTTCTGTTTCAGGCCGGAGGACGGGGAGATCCACCCTGAGATCTGTCGACTCTTCATCCAGCTGCAGTGCTGTCTTGAGATGTACATCACAGAGATGCTCAAATCTGTCTGCTTGTTGGGATCCCTGCAGCTCCACAGGAAAGGTGAAAACATGAAGAATTACTGATTTTAAATAGCATCGCTATAGATTTGGAAGAGATTGTGCAATTTTTTTTTAAATACACTGTTTTGTTTCTAAATTAAAAAGAGAAAAAAAGAAACAAACCAACACTTAAATGAATGAACGTCATTAACGTCACATTATTCCTGTGATGCCACGAGCAGTCTGCTCCACAACCTGAATTTGTGAGACTATATAAACCAGCAGTGCGGGGCGTCATGGTGCTGTGACGGGCGTCATGGTTGCCCCGCAGCAAGAAGGTTACAGTTAAAATCCCGACTGGGCTCTTTCAGTGTGGAGGTTACATGTCCTCCCTGAGGTTGTGTGGGTTTTCTCCAGGTATTCCAGCTTCTTCCCACAATCCAAAAACATGCAGGTCAGAGACTCTAAATTGACAGTAGGTGTGAATGGGTGTTGGGGGCTATATGTGGACCTCGCAACCCACTGGTGACCTTTAGTTTACTGATTTTAGGAGTAATATGAGGTTGGCTCTTTTCTTCTGTTGTGAACGCTGCAGTGGCGACACATGTTTAAAACGAGCTGCTCCATGTGTGCTTTAGGTAAGGAGTCCTGCGGCCCTCCTGGGGTCGACAGTAAGATCGAGGAGAGCTCAGACATCCCCATCCTGGAGGACACGTCTTCCTCCCCCACTGACTGTCCTCAGCTCTGCTGGCTGGTGGCTAATGACATAGAAAACATTGAAAAGTAAGTAGGGAAAAGAGTTTGTTTTGTCTCTCTGTGTGTTGTGTGCATTTGTTTGTTAAGGTGTGAATTGTTGTACAAGGTTATATTTATATATCATAAACAGGCAGCGCTTCAGTCTTTAGAATACACACTTCGGTAAAACTGTTTATTTGTTTCACAAATTAAATTTCAAAATAACCGATGTAGATGTTGTTGAATAGTTGATCTAGCTGATGCACTCACAGCTGGATTTGTTAAAGATTTGTTTTTTGAAGATATAACAGTTTGACACTGATCAAACATCTTATCAACAATTAACAGCATGCATCTGAAAATGACTCGATAAACAGTTTGTTTTTCAACAGTTTATGAAATGACTGCACTTGTTAGAGCAGACAAAATATGTAATGCATTGTGGTTGTTTTTAGGAATTCTTTTTGAATACCAGAATAAAACATTGAAATGATAAAAATGTAATTATTTGTTATCATATTGAAGTGTGTGTGTGTGTGTGTGTGTGTGTGTGTGTGTGTGTGTGTGTGTGTGTGTGTGTGTGTGTGTGTGTGTGTGTGTGTGTGTGTGTGTTA